GTTGTAGATGCCCACTATCCCTATTCAGGTAAGAGCGTCGACATTGCTGTTTACAATAACAGGTAGATTGCATATGTGTTATAGGCCTATGAGTCTGCATGATTGGGTCTAGATGCAGTGAGTTATGATTCTTCTTTGGCTGATAAACTACTGTTTTCTTCTCTAAATTATCATTGCAACACTGTATGTTATGCATTTTTAGGTAAAACATCTAAATGAGTACTTTTCTTCTGTCCCTGAGTTTGGTAACTACCAAATATGTATGAAAAACGTTTATTTGTAAAAAGTGACATAGTTCCACCAGTATAGATTTTGATATGTTAGTCACTTTGATGACATCCTTTCCATTCCATACTTTAAATTAGCTCAGACAGTTTTCATATTATGAAGGATTGTCCTCTATTTTTTAAAAAATATTTTTACTTCAGAGAGGTAGAGAGAGGAAGAGATAGAAATATCAATGATTAGAGAGTTATATTCCTTTGTAATTATCTTTTAGATCTCATATTCATGTCAGTAGGAATTGTTTTTCAGAAGCTATAAATATAAATTGAATATTCATAAGTTTAAACAATTATGTTCTCCTTGATTACTTATATTGGCAACAGATAAGTAGAAATATGACTAACTGCTTGAAATTCTAAGAACAGCATAATAGTAATTTTCTACTTTATTGACATGTGGATTTTGAAACATTTTTTTCTAGAAATATTCAAATATCTCTTCAGTGTCTTATTCAGCTTCCATCAAAGCAATATCTATGCTTTCTGGAATATTTTACTACTCATATATAGCTGCCACAAAATGGTATGCCTCTCCTGAAAGTTACAATTTTATTGAGTAGGAATTCTTAGTTGTTTTCATACAACTAGGGATAAAAATGTATTACTAATGGGTCATAGGAGGAAAGGGTATTTGAACATAAACTACTTTCTGTTTTTTCATATTTTGAAGCAGGATTGTCCCTATCATTTTTTTAAAGTATATTTTGTTGATTTTAGAGAGGGAGAGCCCAGACCCGGCATGTGCCCTGACTTCGAATCACACCGTGACTCCTGGTTCCTAGGTCATGCTCAGCCACTGAGCCGCACTGGCGGGGCTGCCCTCTATCTTAACAGAAAGCCTCTTCATGCTCCTAGAGCAGGGGTGGGGAGCCTTCTTTCTGCCGAGGGCCATTGGATATCTATAACATCATTGGTGGGCCATCCAGAATTATCAACTTAAAAACTAGCCTGCTATATTTGGGCAAACATTTAATTTACCACTAATGCCTGGTCAGGACCACACCAAATAATTTTGTCTTGTGGGCCAGACATTCCCCACCCCTGTCTTAAGAGTATGACAATCTTTAAATCCAGCTGTAGGTTGTTATAGGGAAGAAAAAAAATAATTTGATTTCTACGCTTCTGAGTTAGTTCTTAGCTGAGATGCCTGTAATAAAGATGGTTAACAAGATAAAAATCAATTTATTAATATGTATATATCTCTCATGGAAGATACCCAGGGGAAAAGGAGGGACTCAGAAAGACAATTGGGTTCCTTTTGTTGGATCTTCGGGCTGATGAATGGAGTTCAGGAACGTCTCTCCCTGCATGTTCTTTCCAGTGCTTGCAGCTCAAAATAATGTCAAAGCAGCACATTTTGGAGTGGCGTGTCCTGAAGACCCAAAATGTGGCACACACAGTATTTACTTCATCTGGTCGTTTATCGCAGTTATTTGCATGTGTAGAAGGAACTAAAGTGATGAAAAGATGAAACAAACATTGTGTCATATATAGTGTACCTTTGAGTACTTAAGTATTCCCCCCTAGCAGACAAGGTCTTCATTTCCCCCTCAGTTCTACTTTAGAGAGAAAATAAAGTATAGGTATTCTGTGTGGTAATTTTATATTTTGTTTTTGTTGAGGTCTACTGTCTACAGGCGAAATGCTTAACTGTATTTGCTTTAAGTGTAATAAGAGCTCCTTTCTATTTAGTATTGTATTTGGCAAGACCTTTATGTAGTGGTCCATCCTGCCAGTGGTTCAAACCAAGTATTATTAAACCAAGTAGTATTATCATTTGCTTTTCTCTTGCAAACCTTTTTCCTTCTGTTTACTCCCTCTCTTTATTAATGCTAAATCAAGAAAAGGCTTTTCCTTAGGAAGTTGTTAGCATGGGAAATGTTTTGAGAAGATTACTTACAAAGAATAGAATAATGTCTCTTGAGAAGTTCATCATCTATTGCCTAGGCACTTGTCTTATTCAAATAGGCACAAGATTATAATGCAACATAGCTTCAAATATTATGGTATAGGTCTTTCCTGAGGTGTGATGACCAGAAATGGAGGAGCCATTTTTAGATCTTTGGAAGAAGAGATTATAGATCTTTAAGTTATCGTATATATTTTCTGTTAAGCATGATAACAATGTATAAAACCAATATTTAATATATTTTTCAACTGGTAAAAGTATATTAATTAATATCTAACTCAGTAGTTAAATAAAATATAGTTACTTTTAGTCACCAAATAAATGATATGTTTAGTATGACAAACTATAGCACAGATGTTTCACCCATCATTCTGGTAATTTCCAGATTTTATGTTGAGTTTTGGACGTATTGATATGGTCTTTTGTTTTGCTTAGCTTTTATTGTTTTAATTTTTATTTGAGCTACATTTGACAAAATAAATTTTATGAAATGATTTGCCTAATAAATTGATAGTCATTAAGTAGCATGGAGTTGAAATAAGTAGAGACTTTCTCTTAATGTCAACAATATTTGTGTATGGTGCTGAAACTTCTCTTAGTTTCTAAGAGCAGTTAAAGTTTTTTTCTAGCCCTTGTGATAAAATTTGCAATACTTTTTTAATTAGACCATAGTAGAAGCAGAGTAACAATTTGGTGCCCTTTTGTTGTGCTGCCTGGGTATGAATCCTAGTTCTTCCAATTAAATATATGTTGGTAGTAGTGTTGAGCTGGGAGATTGGGGGACTGACTAGTGCAGGAAGCAGTCAAACAGAAGGGATGCCATTTATGAATAAACAATCTTGAGAGGACTCTTTTTTATGTGCCAAGAAGTAACCATTTTTTGTATGATGGAATATCCTAGGCAGTGGTGTGGGTAGTGGAGAGGACATTCAGGGGGTTTGGGCAGTAGCTAGTTACCAACCACAGTGAAAGTAATTTAGAATTGTAACGCTAACATATGTGTTTTGGTGTATACTAGCTGAATATAAGCCTGAGGTGTGTTAGGCAAGGGAAACAATGAAATGCAGAGATAGGGTGTCTGATTAACCTGCCCCTGTGACATTATGTGTCACATTCCAAATACCCGCCCATCTGACAGTTGTGTACTCTGTTGTCACCTTGTTTCTGCTCTTCTTAGTCTGTTCATCTTGTCCTGTCTTTCTGCCCGAAACATCCCTTCCTAGTATACTTGGCAGTCACCTTCACTTAAAGGGTTACTCTATGACTAGTTGATGTCACACAATTAATGGTTTATTCAGAACCAGGTCTTGCCAGTAGCATCTTTGGAAAAACAAAGGATAAAAATATCATTGCACATTTAAACTCTTTTAAAGTTGCCTTGTGGTGTTTATATAGCATCACTTAGCTTGTCAAGGAATTTATGTTCCTAGTTGATTTACCAATGTATTAGTTTCCTGGAGTTGCCATAACAAAGAACACAAACCAGGTAACTGAAACAATAGAAATTGACTGTCTCATAGTTCGAGAGGTTTGAAGTCCAAAACCATGGTGTCAGCACAGTTCTTCCTTCTGAGGGCTGTGAAGGAGGAATCCGTTCCAGGCCAAGTTTCTAGCGCTTTCCTGGCAGTCCTTGTTTTCCTTGGCTTGTAGATGCATCACTTCAATCTCTGCATCCATCTTCGCATGGTGAAAATGTCTCTCCCTCTGCTGTGTTCAGATTCCCCTTTCTCACGGAGCATCAGTCATACTACTTAGGGCCCACCCTGATGACTTCATGTTAACTTGACCATATCTGCAAAAACCCTGTTTCTGAGATGTTTGGGGGTTAGCTCTTCAGCATATCCCTTTGACAGGACACAGTTCAAATTAATACACCAGAATTAAGTTTTTGTTTCAGCAATAGAAGTTTGAGGATATCTGTCATATTGTTTTTTTTATTGTCATTGATATGTTTTAGATACCTCACATTTTTCTTAAAATTCTAAGAATATTTTTTTCCTAAAGATATTTATACTAGAGGCCAGTAGTCACCTAGATTATCTGCTAAATATATTGTCTATGGATATATTTTCTATGGATATATTTACTACTTTGTGCAAACATTTTAGCTTTTGAAATTTCTTTTAAAATATTTTTTAATTGATTTTTTACAGAGAGGAAGGGAGAGAGATAGAGAGCTAGAAACGTCGATGAGAGAGAAACATCGACCAGCTGCCTCTTTCACACTCCCTATTGGGGATGTGCCCGCAACCAATGTACATGCCCTTGACCGGAATCAAACCTGGGACCTTCCAGTCCCCAGGCCGATGCTCTACCACTGAGCCAAACCGGTTTTGGCTAGCTTTTGAAATTTTAATGTAATTAAATGATGATGAATGACAATTTGAAATCTGAATGCTACAGGCACTGTTTTTATTTTCTTTTGGAAACCCTTCTGATAATGTTTGTCTAGTCTAGACATTGTATATTCTTTTACTACACTCCTTCCTTAGAAAATGATGAATCTCTTTTCCAGAGCTTCCACAAGATAATGAGGACAAGATTTTATATATAGTAATACAACAAGCCAGATTAAATGTTCTATTGTCACCAGTTCTTCCTTAGACTTTTACATTTACTTTGGAACTTCCTTGATGGTTTTCAAGTTATGTTGTGTTCACAAGTGTGATTTCAGATAGTCTTAAAATGTTTTTCAAAGGTGAAGTTCTCCCTTTTTTAATGAAAATCATTGGGAAAATACTAGATGCTATATAAATATTTCCTTTAGACACTTCTAGAATGCTAACAGAATAAACATGTTTGTGCAGGTTTTGGCTGGATCATCTCGTCAAAGTTATTCACCTTCTGGCTATCAGGATTTCACAAAGTGGGAATCAGTGTTGAAAATAAAGGAAGGATTACTGAGGCAGAAAGAAATTGTAATTGATCGGTGAGTCTATTTTATTTATATTACTAAATATTTCAGCACACAGAAATGTAGATTTAAAAAAATACCTTTGTATCCACTATGTAGAGTTTTAAAAAAATAGAATTTTACCAAATATATTGTCTGTTTTCCCCCACTCACAGTCCTTTTAATAACCACACACAGAACTATAGGTTGGTTGGTGGGTCGATCTGTCTGTCTTCCACCACACTCCCAGTTACATTAGAGTAATGCATTATTTGGAAACTCATCTTTGTACATGTTGCAAGTTAGCTGCAATGTTAATGAGCTATCAAAGCTGCAAGTAAATGTTTGTATTTTACCCTTAGGAAATATCAAATTGGAAAGCTACTTTAATATCATTTCCTTTAATGTATGTTAGATATGAAGTTACAGAAACTATGAAAATCATGGATATTTAAAGTAAATGACTTACAGATAAGAATTTTGGATATGGGGGTATATTCCAAAAAAATTGTATGTGTGAATACCAAAGCTCTGAAAAAAAAATTCTGATATACTTAAGTTTTCTGATTATTTTGAGCAATAAACTAATATTATTTAATTATATTATCTGTGATATGTATTGGTTCTTTGTCATTTATGCATATGTTTGAGATAATTAAACATGCTCAGTATCATGGTGGTTGGGAAATAGTTTGAGGAGGTGTTTAATCAATGCTAGTTACACTTATTTTCATGTGCTTATATGGGATAAAGTAGTAAACATTTTAGCTTTAAAATTAAACACTAATTCAAACTTTTAACTATATTTAAGAGTTGAAATTTTAAAAGATTTTGCTTAGAAAATAAAGACCTATTGGAGGATGAACTAGAGCATAGACATCTGGACTTTTTATTTTCTATTTTCTCTTGAACAGAGCTTGACATATAGTATATGCTTAATGCTTGATAATGAAGATTCTAAAAGGTAGTTTTAATTGATTTTATGAGAAAGCTTTAAAAATACTTGATATTTCTAATACAAGTGAATTTTGTACCTATGAGTAGTCACAGACCCACAGCTGGTATATATTTTGAATACTTATAGTTTAAGCTTAGTGCATTGTATAATCCTAAAATTGATGGGTCTTGGCATCATACTTTAATTTTTTAAAGTTTATCTTACAATTACAGTTGACAGACAATAATATCATATTAGTTTCAGGAGTATAAAATAGTGATTGGACATTTATATACTTTAAAAAGTGATTACCCCAATAAGTCTAATACCCATCTGGCACCATACATATTGCAATATAATTGACTCTATTTTCTTTGCTGCACTTTTTAAAAACATGTTTTATACTGTGACTTCAATTTATGTTTTGCAGGCAGAAGCAACAAATTACTCAGCTACACGAGCGGATAAGGGATAATGAATTACGGGCACAACATGCCATGTTAGGGCACTATGTAAATTGTGGGGATTCTTATTTGTCTAGTTTGCAGGTAAGATTACAGAGGATTCTATAGTTGTTTTATTAATAAGGCATTTTAATTTTATACTTAGACTTGTTCGATGCAGAGTAGCCACAAACTTTCATTTGTAAAAAATGCAGTAATTGCCAAGTGTAATAATGACAAGAATGATAAAATGAGGTATGCCTGTTTTTTCTTTGGAGAAATGTCTGTTCAAGACTTCTGTCCAATTTTGAATTTTGTTGTTTGTTTTTTGATGTCCAGTTTTAGATGTTCTCTATGTATTCTGGACATTAAACCTTTATCAGATATACAATTTGCAAACATTGTTTCCATTCTGAGTTGCCTTTTTACTCTGTTGATAGTGTCTTTTCATGTACAAAATATTTTACTTTTTATGAAGTTTAATTTACTTCTGTCTTTCGTGTCATATTCAATAAATCACTGCCAAATCCAATGACATGAAGCTTTTCTGCAACTTTAGGTCTGACATTTAGATCTTTGATATATTTTGAGTTAATTTTTATGTCTGATGTTAGATAAGGATCCGATTTCATTTTTTTGCATGTGGACAATCCAGTATTCCCAGAACCATTTGTTGAAAAGACTGTCTCTTCCCCATTGATGGGTCTTGGCATCTTGTCAAAACTCATTTCACCGTATATGTGAGGGATTGTTTCTGATAACAATATTTTAATAAAACTGTAAAGTTTATTTTTATAATTTTATTATTTTGAATAAAGGCTTTACTTCAATAATAGAATTATTATATTACCAATGATATGTAAAACATAATGTGTACCGGAAGGCTGAATGAAATCCTTTCTGACACAGCATCAGGCCAGTAGAGGGCTCTCCAAGCCAGTCAGCCAGGACAGATAGAAATATGGAAAGGGGCTAAGCTACTAAAATTATTACAAGGATTTTAAATTATGTGGATAATCAAAATGTTGTTGAGAAATTTGATTTTAAATGATTAGGAAAGTTAATAAAAGGGAGATACCTGAAATATTAACTGGATAGATATAGAGAGCTGATTAAATGGAAGGGGTTAGAAGAAACAACAAATATGATAAAACATTTATTTAGCAAAGGGGTTTTTACCTCGAATCTATGAACAACTTTAATTTTAATGCACAGCATTTTGTATATGTACATTTTGGGGTTCATAGCTTGTTCATCCTAATTCCATAACACAGTAAACAAAATAATACCTTTAATATTCTGTATATTCTAGGTTAAATAAAATAAGTTTTTGAAATAAAATAACATTCTTTTATGAATTTAGAGGTGAAAAACATGATCTTGAGAAGTAATTTCTATTTGCACATTGAAAACTTTTAATAACTTTACAGTCCTGATGACCTGAGACCTAGGCATCACCAAGTCTCAGCAGCAGGAAATGAAAACTAGGTCTTTATCCTGAAATTCAAACTTCCTAGATTGTTTGAATGGCAGAATTGGTATAATCAAAGTGATTTGTACTGTAATGCTTTATACTAAAATTTCAACCTGTAGTTAACAGGGCTTCATGGAAAAACAAAACAAAATGTGGACTCTTTTGTTAAAGAAAGAAAGAAGACAGGCCAAATACCAGGGAATTCATAAACTCCCAGGAAGTTACCAAAAAAGCCAGGATTTACAAAACATAGTTCACACTCTTCTGAAATCATGTTACTTTCTTATTCTAAAAACATCACTGGCTTTCCATTTTCTGTGAATTAGGTTAAACTCTGAACCTTGCTATTCTACAATATGATCCACTTAGATTTTTAAATGTTTCTTTGTACTCCCTGTTCTTATAAACTATACATTAAACAGACATGAGTATTCTCTGCATATATTCTATTCCTTGCCTTTTTGAAATGTTCTTTTTTCTATTCCTGCTAGAATCTTTTCTATTTTTAAAATCTATCTCGAAAGCCACTGTCCCAGTAAACCCTTCTTTCTCATTCTCCCAGTGTCTAACTTTATCCTTACACCTCCTGAGACTTTGCACTTAACATGGCTTTTCTTTGTCTACCGTATTATATTGTGTCCATTATATAATTATATAAGGTTTCTTTTATTCCTTTTATTGTAATCTATAATAATAAAAGCATAATATGCTAATTAGACTGGACAGCCAAATGACCTTCCATGTCATTCTAGACATCCTTCCTGATGAAGCTGTGGCAGCAGGGACAGAGGCAATTAGGGATGATCAGGCAGGCAAGTGAGCAGTTAGGGGGATCAGGCAGGCAGACCGGCAGAGTGATTAGGGGTTATCAGGCAAGTAGGCGAGTGGTTAGGGGTGATCAGGCAGTCAAGCAGGCGAGTGGTTAGAAGCCAGTGATCCCAGATTATGAGAGGGATGTCCGACTGCCGATCCTTGTGAGATAGGGCCTAAGTTGGTAGTCAGACATCCCCTGAGGGGTCCCAGATTGCAAAAGGGTACAGGCTGGGCTGAGGAACCCTCCTCCCTTCCCCGCCCCCATTCACTGGCTTCTCTTTTCAGTTAATAAAAGGCAGTGCCCGACGTTGTCATGTTTGACTTATCCTGAACATGATAAATCTATTTACATGCTATTTTATTGCATCTTCACCTTTGAGGCATGTTTTTCCTTTTTCTTTTTTATTAATTCGATTATAGACTTTATAAGATTTCACTATTTTTGGTGTGAGTGTGTGTGTCTTGAGTGTCTGATTTCAATTCCAGGATCTTACTCAGGGTCTCACACAGCTGGCTTGCTTCTTTTTTTTTTTTTTTTTTTTTTTTTTTTTTTTAGAGGTGTTATAATTTATTTTCAGATGTAAAATATGATTTTTATGTAGCTACCATTAGTTTTATTTTAATTTAAAAACTATTTTAAATATAATAATACATGTAATAAACCTTAATATTTCAAGAAAAATTATCTTACATATAATAATATTACAGGCAATAAACATTAATATTTCAAGAATAAAAGGATTTTAAGTATAATAATATTATCAAACTGTACTAACATAGATGATATCACAAAAGTTGTAGGAAATATGAAAAAATTTCAAATAACAGGATTATTTCTATTATATTCTAAAGTATTTTTTCCCTCTGGCTCTATTTTTGTTCATCTGTTTATGTTGTTCATTATATTCCACAATTGAGTGAGATCATATGATATTTTTCTTTCTCCGACTTGCTTATTTTGCTTAGCATGATGCTTTTAAAGTCTGTTTAGTCGGATATGAGTATTGCTACTCCAGATTTTCTTTTTCTTTTCCATTTGCATGGAAGGTTTTTTCCATCCCTTAACTTTCATCCTGTGTGTGTCTTTTGTTTTGAGGTGGTCTCTTGTAGACAGCATATAGTTGGGTCATGTTTTTGTATCCATTCACTACTTTACACCTTTTGATTGGAGCTTTTAATCCATTTGAGTTATTATTTAATAACATTTAGGTTATTATTGAGAGGTAGTTATTTATAGCCATTTTAATTCTGTATGGCTAGGTTTCTCTCTCTGTTTCTTCTTCTCAGCAGTCCCTTACAGCAGTCCCTTTAGCACTTCTTGAAATGCTGGTTTGGTCGTGATGAGCTACTTTAGCCTTTTTTTGTCTGGGAAGCTCTTTATTTGCCTGTCTGTTTTGAATGATAGCCTTGCTGGATATTGTAATTTTGGTCTCAGATCCTTGCTTTCCATTGCCTTGAGTACTTTATGCCATTCCCTTCTGGCCTGTAGAGTTTCTGATGAGAAATCAGGTGGCAGCCTTATGGGAACTCCTTTGTAGGTAACAGTTTTCTTTTCTCTTGTTGCCTTAAAATCCTCTTTTTGTCTTTAATTGAGGCAATTTAATTATGATGTGTCTCTGTGTGGGTCTGTTTGGGTTGTTTTTGTTTGGGGTTCTCTGTGCCTCCTGAACTTATATGACTTTTTCCTTTACCAGGTTAGGGAAGTTTTCTACCATTATTTCTTAAAACACCTTCTCTATTCCTTTTTTTCTTTCTGCCTCTTTTGGCACACTTACTATTCTAATATTGTTACATTTTACATTGTTCCACATCTACCTTAAGCTGTCCTCCTGTTTTTTAATTGTTTTTTTTTCTTTTTAGTTCACTAATTGAGTGATATTTTCAACTCTGTCTTCTAATTCACTGATTCCATACTCAGCTTCCCCTAATCTGTGTATTCCTTCCAATGTGTTCTTTATTTGTGTTATGTCATCTTGATCGCAGACTGTTCTTTTTCATAGTTACTATATCTTTTCATACTGTTGAGCATTTTTAACATCATTACTCTGAACTCTGTTTCAGATAAATTTCTTATCTTTGCTTCATTTATCTCTTCTAGAGAATTCGCTAGTTCTTTCATTTGGGGTTTGTTTCTTTGTTTCCTCATTCTGGTTGTCTGTTTGGGTTTGTGACTATGTTTTAGGTAGATCCTCTATATATCTCGATCTCTAATGTTAAAACCTTTGGGACAGTTTGAGTTCTTCAGCACCTCATTTGAGTTTTTATTTATATGCCTGTCTAGAAAGCCTTTCCGTAGCTACTACACATACAGCTATTTTAGCAGTTTGACAGTTTCATTGTGTTTTAGTGTGTGACACTTTATTAAAAGAGGGACAAACTGGAATTTATGCCAAGATCTGTTTATTGCTAGAGTTTATATGTACTCGCCCTCATTTCCAATTTCTTTTCATTTAAGACAAATAAGCTTTTAAAGTCTTCCCTGTGTTTTTTCCCTAATAGCCACAATATGAGAGCACTTCACCCCAGAATCCATTTTCAGATCCATCAGTGTCCAATACTCAGCAAGAGGAACTTGAGCAAAAGCTTGCATCTACTGAGAAAGAGGTTTTACAACTTAATCAGTTTCTCAAACAAAGACTAAGCCAATTTAGTGAAGAGAAGAAGAAATTAGAGGAAAAAGTAAGTATATTTAAAGAAGTTAAGTTAGGCCAACAACATTTCTCTATTATGCATGAGCGGACCCTATCAGAAGTGACCAAAAAAATCTTTAAAAAGTTCATTATTGTGGGGAGAAGAGGGAGATGGGCACATGCGTCAGGGCGACATAGGGGAGGTGCTTGCCTGTCAGTCTAGCCTGGAGAACAAAAATTAGAGATATTGAAGATGTCAGAGTGGCTGCATGATGAAACGAGTTCCTACGAGAAATAGGGAAAGGTTGGTAACAGACAACAAGGTGGAAGATGCACTCTTGGGAAGGAAGAGGAATTGCCTTCTGTGGAATGAAGCATTGAAAAATGGAAATGTCTATGCCAGGGAAACTTGAGGAAGGGGTGAATGTAGAGGCTAAAGTTTGTATCAGAGAGCATGGAGATGAGTTTCCAAAGGGAGTGTAGGAGCTGGAAAATACACTCATTGATGCATTTCCAACTAATGCATCATCTACACAGCACTTGGGCCCACATGAAATTGGATTGCATTGTTTTCTTCATGTATTTTCTCTAATGCTGATCAAGACTGATTTTTTTTTTTTTTTTTTTTTTTTTTTTACCGAAAAACATTTACTGTGTTAATAATAAGCATCTACCTAATAAAAGAATAACATGCTAATTGACGTACCTTTGCAATGCTCACTAGCCAATCAGGAGTGAGTATGCACATTAACCCAACAAATATGGTGGGTTAATTTACATATGCGGCTGCTATGGGCTTGAGCAGTGTAGGAGGGCAGAAAGGTGGCTCAAAGGTGGCTCCAGCCAGAGCGAAGGCAGTGCCGGCAGCCAGGGAAAGGAAGGCCCATTCTGGCACAAATCTTTGTGCATCAGGCTTCTAGTAATAATAATAAAAGAAGTTACTTTTTAGTGAGCTCTTATGTGTGCCGGACAGCATGTTAATGTGCATTCAGGGCATTTTCTTATTTAGTTCTAACCTTCAGAAAACCCTATGAGCTATATACTATGCTCCCCCATTTTAAAAAATGAGGTAACTCAAGCTTTGAGAAAAGTAATTTGAATAATTTGTCTAGTTGCATGTGAATAAAAATTGTCAAAAAGTTAGGAGTAAAATTCAAGACGATTTAACTCCACAGCTGATGCTTTGGTTGTAACAATGATTTGTAAAACATTTACAGAAAAACATTTCCTCACTAATCTGTTTTGTTCTAATTATTGTATTTAAAATAAAAATAAATTTGTTTGTTAACCTCTTCTAAAACAGGGCTGGTCCTCCTGTTGCCTTCTAAGAATGATCTTAGTGTTGCATAATACTTTCTGGAAGGAAAAACACTTAACTTTTATAAATAGAATAGGAAAGATATATTAGTGATGCCTCATTTACCTGGGATAATTACTGGAATTCAGACTTCAGTAATCTCTGTTAACCTGAAACAACACAAAACTTTGAAGTTAAAAGAATAAAATAAAACAAAAACTAAGAGCTTCTCGTTAGTGAGCATGGCTGGAAAAACACAAGAACCAGTGGTTATGGGTTATCAACTTGTAGTCAACAAATAATAGAGGTTACCCAGCAGGAGAACGTTGACAGAGATTTGTGATCAAGGGCAGCAAGCTTGGCACCATAGCAAAGGCAGTTGACCAACCAAAGAAAAAGGAGAAAATGAGGACTTCTTTGCATAGTAGACCACATGACTGATTTGTTCCAGTGCTGCTTTTTGAGGACATCACTGTGCCAAGTTTAAGACACTTAAACAATTAAGTGTAAATTCTGAAACACTTAGTAAAATAGACTAGTAGTTATATTTACTTCTACCATGTTTCCCCGAAAATAAGACATCCTCTGAAAATAAGACGTAGCGCATGGGAAGATAAGACATCCCCTGAAAATAAGACCTAGCACAACTTTGGGAGAAAAAATTAATATAAGACACTGTCTTATTTTCGGAGAAACAGAGTATCACAGAGTTACTTTCTAAGGAAGAACAGGCTTTGTTGATGTGCAATTCAACACAGCTGGCTGTGAGAGAATTTATGGGAATCTGGTTCATAGTAAAACACTGAAGGGACATTGGCTTTAGTGTTCAGTCAGACAATCTATTCTTAAATCCCAACTCTGTCTCTGAGACTTGTGGTTAAGTCACAAAAGATCTCCAGGCCTCATATTCTGAAAGCATATTGTACTATGGTCTTGTGGATCACTATCAGTGCCAGCAGTCTGTGAGTTGTAATATATCACAAGGTAAGTTGTCATACCAGCATACTTGCCTTTAGTCCCGAGAAAGCTCCACTAAATAACAGATTTGTCTGTTTTCCCAGTTTTGCTTTTTACTCAAGGTAATAAATAGATTCTGATGTTACTGATGGAATGAATGAGATGTGATTCATTTTTCCAATTGAAGTTGTTTTAATAAAATTTGTTATAAATTAGACCTGAAGAAATTAGATAATGCATGAAAGAAACTAAATTTTGGACAAGTGCTAGCTTTAGTAAAATAAGAAGGACTACTCCATTATACCACTAATTACTAATATTTATTTCCCTGGGTAAAAATGGGAAAAGACTGTAAAAATATTTTAAAACTATAAACTTCAAAAAGGATGTTAAATGTTTGGGAGGCTGGTGATTTAAGGTATATATGAATCTAGAGTTCACTTTTTAGGTAACTATATATGCATATTGTTTTTAATTGATCTTAAGTATGAAAGAGCTTTGCAATAAGATGGAATTTAAAGAGTTTATTTTACATGCAAATGTGAAAAAAATTACATAGAAATCTGAGGTCTGGCCTTCACAGAGTGGGGTTTTCTAATGTCATGCACTCCGTGTGTTCTATAGCAGGTGCTCACCTAATATATTTCATCAATTCTAAAATGACATTAATGGGAAGGTACACCTTTATGTTATGTAATTTTTAGAACACAGGCTGCAAGTTTAATTATGCTACAATGCCTTAACAATGGTCTTCCTTGAGGTATGGATTGGTATGGCTAGTCCCCTTGTCAGTTTCTAAGTATTTAATAACTAGAGGCCTGGTGCACAAAATTCGTGCATGGTGGTGGGGGCAGGGGGTTGTGGTGGGTGTGTCCTTCAGACCAACCTGCACCCTCTCTAATCTGGGACCTTTTGAGGGATGTCTGTCTGCCCATTTAGGCCCAATCCCAGTAGGATCGGCCCTAAACGGGCAGTCGGACATCGCTTTCACATTCCAGGACTGCTGGCTCCCAACTGCTTGCCTGCCTGCCTTCCTGATTACTCCTAATCACTTCTGCCTGCCAAGCTGATCACCCCCTAACCACTCCTCCGCCAACCTGATTGATGCCTAACTGCTTCCTGTCCCTAACTGCCCTCCTTTGCAGCCCTAGTCATCCCTATCTGCCCTCCCCTGTAGGCCTGGTCCCTTCCAACTATCTTCCCCTGCTGGCTATCTTGTAGCAGCTATCTTGTGTTCACATGGGGGCAGCCATCTTTGGTCACATGGGGGCAGCCATCTTATGTGTTGGAGTGATGGTCAATTTGCATATCACTCTTTTATTAGATAGGATAGAGGCCTAATGCATGGGTGGAAGCTGGCTGGTTTGCTCTGAAAGATGTCCCGGATCAGGGTGTGGTTCCCTTAGGGTATGGGGCGGCCTGGGTGAGGGGCCTGCCAGGACCTTGATGACCCAAGCAGAGGCTCTGCTATCTGGGATTTATTTATCTTCTATAGTTGAAACTTTGTAGCCTTGAGTGGAGGCCAGGGCCAGCCAGGGTGGGTTGGAAGCTTGGCTTCCTCCATTGCCAGGGGCAACCCAAGCCTCCTGCTCTCTCCAGCTCTCTCTAGCTCAGTGGCCCCCACCATCTTTGTTAGGATTTATTTGGAACTTTGTAACCTTGAACAGAGGCCGGGGCCATCCAGGGTGGGCAGGAAGCTTGGCTTACTCCATCATTGGGGGCACCCCAAGCCTTCTGCTTGCTCCAGCTCCATTGCTTTCACCATATTTGTTGGGTTAATTTGCATATTCTCTCCTGATTGGCTGGTGGGCGTGGCTGTGAATGTAGTGGAGGTACAGTCAATTTGCATGTTTCTCTTTTATTAGATATTTTAGTAAGTCCTCCTAGATTTTTTTCAGTTATTTTTTTAAAAATCTTTATTTTTGAAAGTCCTTCTAGCTTTGATTGCATTGCTTTAGTCCATGATAAGCATTTCCTTTGCAAGTTTGTTAGCTTTAATTATTTGCAGGCATCTTCCTTGCTTAATTCACATAAAACATTTGAATATAGCTTTGCAAGAAATAAGAATTGGACTCATTCCTCAGTGAATTACTTGCTTCACTGATTTTGAAATTATATCTCATGACTCTTTCTGTCTCATGCTGAAAACCCAATAACTTTTGTCAGTGCCAAATTGTAACATAAAACCTTCAACACATAGTTTCAACATGTACATAACTATATTTTTGAAATGTCAAAAATAAGAATAGTCTTGACCAAATTTTCACATATGCAGGCATTAAAAACTATAGTAAATAATACAATAAAAACTTTATTACTGCTATCTTTCTGACTGCAGTTCATAAAATGTCATCAGCTGTAAATGAAAACAAAAAAAATTTCAAAAACTTGATTTCAGTGCTACGAAATTTGAAAAAATGTGAATATTAGAATTGATGAAATAAAGTAAATCTTACTTGAGTTAGTGGTGGTATCAGCTATAACCTAGAACTGTTGGAGAATTCAGTGATGCCTAAGATTAGAATGTTTGTTTTGTTATTATTTTTTCATGGCACAAAACCATTGAAGATTTATAATCTTTTTATAGCTTAAAACTAGAGATAGATACATCAATAGCCTGAAAAAGAAATGCCAGAAGGAATCTGAACAAAACAAAGAAAAGCAGAGAAGAATTGAGACCTTGGAAAAGTATCTGGCTGATCTCCCAACTCTAGATGATGTCCAGAGCCAGAGTCTACAGGTAACAGGAAACCAGTGCTCGTCTTTAAGTGGCTTGAAGCATATACTTTAAGTTAATGCTTTCGAAATTTCATAACTTTTGTAATTTCAAATTTTAGTTTTACAGCTGTCTAATTATAAGTTAAATCTGTTTAATTGCTGTTTTTAAGGATTAACTTTAATTAGAAACTGTTCATCTAAGCATGAGTAGATTTTTCTTGTTAATGTTACCTTCCTAATGAAACTGTATCTTAACTCTCTCACTTAATGTTCTGTCCTCAAAGGTCATTTCCAAACCAGTCTGACACACATACCATACACACATTTACACAGTCTGACTTTTCCCAGCATTCTGTGGGATCTCTTCAACAAGACTTTTTTTTTTTTTTTTTTTTTTACTATTTTCCTATTTGATTTGTTTCCCTCATTCTTCTTAATTTTTCCACAAATTGTTTTTTATACTTGCAGGCGTCCTCAAACTTTTTAAAGTGGGGGCCAGATCACGGCCCCTCAGAGAGCTGGAGGGCAGGACTATATGAACTACTAATTCCTACTGTAACACCTCAGCTGTGCTCACTGCCCAAAAAACCTGGCGGGCCGGATCAGACTCCTCTGTGGGCCGCATGTGGCCCGAGGGCCGTAGTTTGAAGACGCCTGCTTTATGGTCTCCATTTACTCCTCCTCCTTCTTTTCTGGCCATTTTCCCTTCTTACGGATACCCCCTTCAGAGTCTTTTGACCAATTCTGGGGCCTGTCCTCCTGAAACCCTATTTATAAGCCACCTATTTTCCAGTCTTTTTTCCAAAGTCTTTCTAATCATGGCATTTTCAGCCTCTGCACTATTGACATTTGGGGCGGATAATATTTTGTTGTAGGATCCTGACCTATGCGTTTGAGGATGCTTCGCAGCATTTCTGGCCTTTACCTACTACATGTCAATAGCATGTTTTTTCCTCCCCCAACCCCAGACCAAAACTATCTGCAGACATTTTCAAATGGCCCCTGGGAGGGACAATTGCTCCAGTTGAAATCATCCGTCTAAGCCACAGAATGGCTGACTCTAGACCTACAACACATTCTCTGTTTAAGTTAATTTATAATTTCTATAACTAAGACAGGGTGACAGGAGGAGGAGGACAGGAGTTTGCATGACGAGGAACAGCAAGGAATATAGATCTTAAGACATAGGTTTATACTACCTGGGTTTATACCCCATTAAGATGGCTAATATATATATATAAAAAAGAGAAAGCAAGTGTTAGCAACAATGATGCGGAGAGTTGGACTCTTTATGCACTATTGGTCAGAATGTAAAATGATGTGGCCACTGTGGAAAATGATAATTTTGTCATAAAAATTAAAAATATAATTATACAATCAATCCACCAATTCCATATATATATATATATATATTCAAAAGAATTGAAAGCAGGGACTCAAACAGGTGTTTGTACATGATGTTTGTTCATAATATTATTGCAATAGCCAAAAGTTGGAGGCAGCTAGTGCTCACCAATGGGTGAATGCATAAGCAAGATGAGTCATATACACACCATTCAGCCTTCAAAAGGAAGGGAATTCTGACACATGCTACAAGATGGATGAACCTGAGGGTAATTTCTTATGTAAAATAAGCCAGTCACAAAGATAAATGTTGTATGAGGTCCCTGAAGTAGTCAGTTTCATAGAGACAGAAAGTCAAAGTGTGCTTGCCAGGGACTGAGGGGAGAAGTGGATAGGGAGTTGATAATGGGTATAAAGTTTGTTTTGCAAGATAAAAAGAGTTCTGATTATTAGTTGTACAATTATGTGTATGTACTTAACAATACTGAAATGGTAGAGTTAAAAGTGGTTAAGATGGTAATGTTTTTGTTATGTATATTTTGCCACAATTAAAAATATAATTTTTAAAAATTCCCCAAATTGAGATCATTCACCTTCTGTCGCTGTCTTCTAGAACTCTGATTCCATTCTCTTCTTCTCCATAATTTCATTCTCCCAACTCTCTTGACACAAAAGAGATAAAGTGTTAGTAAGTAGATGAAATGAAAAGACGTAGTGTGATTTTAACCAGTGCATTAATCTTTGAGAACACAGTAACAATTTCTAGTAGAAAGACATTTAATATTTCATGTTTTATGAACTTTAAAACATTTCTTCTTAGCTGCAGGTTCTAGAAGAAAAAAACAAGAATTTGCAAGAGACTTTGGTAGATATGGAAAAAAAGCTTGAAGAGATGAAAAAACAGTGCCAAGACAAAGAGGTGCAGATAATATGCCAGAAAAAGAAAGAAAAGGAGTTGGTAACTACGGTTCAAAAGTAAGAAAACCTTCAGTAATTCTTCTTATTTTTAAATTATATTTTTCATAAAGCATTTCACCTAAAATACATTAATTTATAATTATTACTCTTTATTCTTTTTATCTTAACGATGTATTATTAAGAACCGGAAGTACTGTGTCCTTAAAACAGGTTGTCTCAGTTGTTGTTTAACATTTTAATGCAGCATCCTGGCCTCTTGCCAGGGAGAGCAGTGGAAGCGCTAAGTACCAGGAGGAGCAGCAGCCTGGCTCTCATACTGAACTCCGTGCGGATGTCCAGTGATGCCATTGGCTCCTCTTCTGTGCTGCAGAGGGACAGGCGGGGCTGTTTGCTACGTACCTTTCAGTTTGGCTGACATGTATTACCTCATGGGATCTCTGCTTTTAAATCACTGCAGATAGAATTATAGGGAATATTTTTGTTAGTATATCTAGCTACTATATTCATGCTGGGAAATTAATACTGGATTCCTGAAAAAATCTGGACAACTGTGTTACATATGCATGTACACATACTCTCTTATCTTGTAAAACTTAAATTTAATAGATTATCGATCATAAATAGTAAAAAATATCCTGAAGAATGAGACAACAAAGAACAAAAAACTAAATTTAAGAAATATATTCTCATGCTTATATCAATTATATATAACTCAGTGTATTCTCAGCTGTTTAATGAAAATCTGATGATTCCATGTTAATATTGCTTTACTACTTTCAGAGTCTTAAGTATGCCTGGTCTTCTTTTATTCTTGGATTTCAGTGCAGAAATTTCTAATTTCTGGGACAATTCAGTATTATTCAGTGTTCGTGAGCTAAGCTCCAGAAAAATTCATACACTTTGATTCTATCTTTATTTTTCTCCTCTTTTATGGTTTCTTGCTCTTTAAGGGAACTTTTTATAGCTCCACATCTTATATCCTATCTCTTGTCTCAAAATAGCTTTATGACTTCCACTAATTCTACCATATATCTTTTTCTGTAATCTTACTGATAAAATGAAAAGAGGTAATGTATCTGTTCTCTTTTAATAGGGCATTATGATTATAAACTCAAGCTGTGTTGTTCTATGAATAGAGAATTAAGGACACTTGAAAATAATTTGAATGTTTGTTTTGTTCCAGTGTGTGCTTTTACATATTTAATATGATTTTATACCTTCTCTTTTATTTTGATTTTTCGCTTTTATTAGGTTTTTGGAGAACATTGAGATTGGTATTTTTTTATTTGGAAAGACTGAGTATAGTGCATTTCATAATACATTTTCCATTTCCTAATTTAATCTTGATACTCTCTGAGATGATATTATTAGAAAATTGCGCTCGATTCCAAATGAGTGCAAAGAACCAGAGAAGGTCTTCTATAATTCTTCAGTACTTGTATGGCTATGGCGTCACTGGACTTTGGGGGCAGGAGTGTTATTTCCATTTCCTCAGCTGAATGACACAGTATTCCTGAAGTGCCAGAACTGCAGATGTATATGTGACTTTGAATTATATCATTACAGTTTTTGGTTTTATATAATATTTCTTAAGTTCCCTGCTTTATGAATATGTAAGAACTTTTGAGATTTCAAAAGAAATGATGAAAGTTTTCATATTACAAAAGTAAATAAATATGTGGGTGTGATCCCTGATAATGCAATAGTTGATAGCTTTGCTGGTCAAGAGATTTATTACTTTTCTAAGTGAGCATGCTTTATAACATAAAGAAAATGAGAATGGATACATGAAAGAAGACTTGCTATTTTTTCATGACAGTACATTTTCCCCTTATTGTTGGCTCATTTTTCAAAAGTTTTATGTCTTTTGGAATGTTATAAATACATAGTTGTGTCTTGACTGCATTGGGGAAAAAAAACTTATTCTGAAATTGAAATAATGTGTTTTTCACTTTTAGACTGAGAAAGCAAATTTTTTTATGGCAGGTAATATATTACGAAGCAGTACACTACATTTGTAATACATATAACTTCTCTAGTGCCATTACTTACCAACACATCTGAAGCCCATATTGTATTTTAGGACTGTCAATTCTTTGTCCACAATCTGAATATGGTATTTTTCTTTTGAAATTCTGTAAGCATGTATTGAGCCAAACTGAGGAAGCAAGATCACAAATGCTCCTTTGTGTTTTCTTTGTTTGTTTTTTGTTTTTTGTTTTTTTGTTTGTTTTTTGAAAGACAGAAAACACAGGATAGCCTTAATACTTGAAAGGAGAAAAATAATGAAACTAGCATAACCCAAATAAGATGAAGCTTATTTCTTTTAGTATTTTGTAACTCTTGAGTATGACCACAAACAAGCTAAAGTGGAGCTATTCCTAAGTGTTTTTCTGTTATATTTTGGTTTTGGTCATTATTGTAAATGCTATAATTCCTTTTAACCCAAACACGACTATTTTACCTTTCTTAGAGCCAATACCATCCCCCCATTTACCCTCTTATTCTTAGTGTGCCAGAGGGTCTTTTGTCTTTCGTTCTTCTAAAATGCAACTGTTTCATGGCTAGCATGAGAAAGTGTTAGGTGAAGTAACACATATATTAGATTGCTGCTCTTATTAATAAAATAGAAATGCAGTTCTGCTGGTTTAGGCAATATCTATCTTTACAAACTTTTCCTGAGCTCAGAATAAAGGGCAAAAGATGTGTATTCATATTCTTAGGCTCCTTTCCACAGTCATCTTAACCAAGTAATTCTGATTTTGGTAGGGAGAGAAAAAGAAGAGGACTCAGATTTCAGAGCTTGGGTTAGGGTAAAATGAGGACCTAAGATGTCACATACTAAGCAGCTTGACTCTGGTCATATTCCTGAAAAGATGATCAGCCTCCAGTGTGTTTCTTACTTTTATGAAATAATAGGTCCTCAAGCTTATTTGTATACTGTCTATAAGTCTCAATTAAAAAATATTATAGATCCTCAGAAGGAACTGCATTTATGTTGACATTTTCTACCAAAGTTAGCATATAGAACCCATTTTCTTTATATAATTGTTTTTCTAAAACAGTTTGCAGCAAAAGGTGGAAAGATGCCTTGAAGATGGAATTCGCCTTCCTATATTAGATGCAAAACAGCTTCAGGATGAAAACGATAACCTGAGAGAACAAAATGAGAATGCTAGTAAGGTCAGTGCATATCTTTCACAATAACATGAAATCCATACTATGTGGTCATGTGTCTAGAAATGTAACTTAGAGTTATTTGATTTATATTTTTATAATATTTTATAACTGATGGAATTTTTAGTTTGCATGTTTTTATTTGGAAAGAAAATACCCATTTAAGGAAATTTAAATAAAAGCCAAATTCAGGAAATTGATTCTTAGGAAAACAAAAGAATATGTTTTTCCTTCTTACATTATTCAAAGTCTGTTTCAAAGTTATTTTTGTAAATTGCATTACAGAAAATCTTTATCAGGAATAGGAAGACTTTTGCAATTTTACAATACATATGTGGTTATTTAAAGGATACTTGGTATGAATACTTTTATTAAAAAATTACTCCCTAATTGTTTAAAAAGCATATTATTTCCTATGATTTTTTTGTTTTCTTGAAATACCAATACTTTTAAAAAGCAATGGGGAAAAATTGATTCAGACTGACATGTTTTCTTGTTTTAGATAATAGACCACCAACAAGATGAGATTGACAGAATGACATTAGAAATTCAGGTAAGAAATGTTTTGTGCTCATTTTAATTTAGCTATTTGCCAGTTTACTCTTAACGGTTACACAACATAAAAATATTAAAGCATATAAATATTTGTATGAAAAGATTAATAGCACTTAAGATGAAGTTGCAAATTCTTTAATATTAATCTTTCAGGTTTTTTTTTTTTTAACAGAAATGCTACTCAGTAAATCAGTTCTTCAAAAAATTGTGAAAATTGTCTATTCCTTACTTGTCTTTGTTTTAATTGGATGCAGTCTGTCTCTACTACTAAACACACATTTAGTTAAGGTCATCATGATCTAACTAAAGAAAATGGGCCTTTTTATTTTTATTATTTTTATTACTATAATAATATTTATTAGATAGGAATACATTTCAAAAACCTCTGAGGATTTTTCATTTTCTTTCCCAAATAATCTTCATGAATTAGTTATGAGGTGGTATCCTCATTTCTGTTTGTTCACCTGCCAGTGGGAGGTCTGATAATAGTCTATTTTTAGTTCACTGTGATGGCAAGAGCCTTCTCCTTTGTAATAATTCTTTATGTATTCTTCCTGTATTATCAAAACATTGACTTTAAGTATCTGCTTATGTGTTATGTAGACTTAACATAGTTACCCAGATTAAAAACGTTCTTGGGAAAGATGGTGTTTTCCCCCCATCGTAGACATCTGCTCTAGAGGTAACGGGGTTTCATTTACATGTGAGCGCTTCCTCTTCCAGGTGCTGGGGAGATGATAGCTCAGTCTAAACTATTCAGAATCAGTATTCCTTGTTATTTACCAAATTGTGTTTTGCTTTCAGTTTTAACATGCTTTTTTACATTTCTCTTTAGTCTATGCAAGGGAAACTTTCTGACGAAAAGCTGACCACTAAGAAGCTGATGGAAGAGCTGGAAAAGAAAGAAAGAAACCTGCAGAGATTAACGAAAACATTGCTTGATGTGAGTAGAAGAAATTCAAATTACTTTCAAAGGATGATTCACTACCTATTTAAGTAAAAGCAAATGCTTATTTTGTACATATTCAAAAACCATTTTTAAATTGAAGACTTGATTTTGATGTGCCAATTAATTAAATCCATTATGTTTCTTACTAAAATTATAATAAAAAGACAGACTTATTTTTTTGTCTTAGAATACAACTTCACAGACATTACTCTAAGTCAAATGTTAGATAGAGATTAGGTCCCAAAACCATCGAATAAAGCATATTGAATGTACAAAATTACCCTAGGAAATCTTTAAGGCAGATGCAGTGTTGACACTGTCATTGGAACAGATTACACTTTCTTAATTATGAGATGAACTATTTGGCTTGCATTTAAGGACATATTATACAGATAATACTTAATTTTAGTTTTTAACTATCATACTGACATTTGCCACTTAAATACTTCAGAATGCATTTCCAAAAATTAGGGACATTTTCTTATATAACCATATCACAATTGTTATACCCAGTAAGAATAATATGTCTTAATATTTTATAATACTCAGTGTGCATTCCACTTCTTTACAAATGCTTTTTATAGTGACTTGAAACCAGCATTCAGTAAAGACAGTTGCATTTCATATTTTCTTATAATCCTAAGGCCCCCTTCTCCCACGTTAGTGACTTGTTGATAAAACTGTGCCTGTTTGTCTTGTAGACTTTTATTTGTGAGACTTCTGGGTTGTCTGATTACTTCCTCATGATGTCATTTGTCTTGTTCTCTACCCCATCTATTTTCTTGTGAGCTAGAAGTTAGAGCTAAAGACAATCATTAGATTTAGGTCAAACATCTTTTGTAGGTGGTGTTCACATCATCAAATGATATATGTGTGGTTATTTCACTGTAAGTGACACCAGTACTCACCTCATTGGGTCAAGAGGTGACAGACCGCTTTTTTCCATTGTCATGTTAGAGCCTTGCAAACAGCAGGCATTTTGTGGGTGATGCTTAGGCAACTGGGTGAATATGTATTTTGCCAGCAGCTTTTACTTTGTTGGTTTTAGTATCCACCAGTGATCATTATCTGAGTCATTAGATGATTAAAAGAATGGTATTTTTTTTTCTAATTATGTCATTCCTTTTACACTTACTAGCTGGCACTCATCTATTTTTAAAAAATCTTTTCCTCTTCAACATGGCTATTTGGTTATTCTGAAATAAGTCCCAGTTGGCATGCTAATTAAACTTACCTTCATGAGCACTTTTCAGGATGAGGAGTAGATGATGGCAATTTGGGGGATGAGGCGATTGTAACTTTCTCGAAGTGTAGTGAATCATGAGTCATATTGACACTTCCAATTCAAATTTAACAATTTACAGTTGTTCAGGGTCTTTTTTTCTTCTTTGATTTCTTAGTTGTATTTTTCTCTTACACTGAAAATTTTGGTTCTGTTTACTATAACAACATACATACTTAGTAACTAAATCACTATTGCTACTAATAAAACCATAGGATGAGGTGTTCTTAGGATAAGTCTTTTTTTTTTTTTTTTTTTTTTTTTTTAGAAAAATACATATATAACCAAGATGCTCATTATGTGAGAGACTCCTAGAAACTGACTGTTTGGAGTTGTAATTTCCTCTCTGGGGCAGAGGAATCATTTCCATTATTTAAATTATTTTTCTCTTTTTTTCCCCCACACTAAATTTGGTTAATATGCATATAATATTTCACTGTTTCGTTGATAGACTTAGGGGAGAATGTTAACCTGTATGGCTTTTGAGTACCTTTCCTCTGTTTTAACCATGTTTTCTCCATCCGTTGCAGAACCAAAGACACACAGAAGAGACATGCTCTGTGTTGGATCAGGGCCTGGAAGCAGACCAGCCCAGGCTTCCTAAACGACCCCTCTTTGATTTGAGTGTGATTGACCAGCTGTTCAAGGAAATGTCCTACTGTTTGTTCGACTTGAAGGCATTGTGCAGCATTCTTAACCAGCGTGCTCAGGGCAAGGAGCCAAACCTTTCATTGTTACTGGGAATCAGATGTAAGTGGCCCATGACTTGTCCTTACGTTATTGCTAACTGTTAGAAACCTGTCTTCACGAATTAGGAACTTCTGGCTGCATTGTCTGTATTTGTCTTTGATCTCCTTTCCTACGTTGACTTCTAAATCTCTGAATCAATCTGTGGGTCGTGAATGCATGTTTTTACTTCATTACTAGGGCTTACCTCATGCTTACAGAAGTGAGCATGGCCACAGTTGATATGGAATGGCACCTGTCAAATGCCTGTGTACTGAGCTGTGCGGATCCCTGAGGGAATGATGATAGGTGTGGTTTTCTGACCACTCTTCTAAACATAGTAATTCTGTAGGCTTTCAATAGGCCCAGCCATCTGTCCCCTGGAAAATCTTGGAGAAAAGATACTCACTTGCTCTTCTCTGTAGCCTTTGTTCTGGGGGTTTTAATGGCCTACAGGTCTCTTGCTCTTGTCATGCATACCTGCTGGCTTAGTCCCTTTCAGTGTGACTCCCCGCATTCTGTCTCTGTCTTCCTCCACACAGAATTGTGACATCTGCCTCAGGATGTCCCAGTGTCACATCCCTTCTGTGCTGCTGTTGCAGGAACACTCATTTCTGCATGTGCTTCTCAATTTTAATATTGATGTGTTAGTCTCCTTTTAACACGAAAGAAATGGACTTCAGTTAGGAGGTCGAATGGGGTCAGGTCATTTATGCAGTAACATGCTGTATTGAGTAATTATTGTACCTAATAATATAGTAAACATGTGCCTACAGAAGGGACTAGGTTCCCCCCCCCCCCCCCAGTTTTATAAAGATTTCACCGTCTTGGATCATAATAGTTATTTTGTCAAACCAAATACATAATACTCTTGATCAAAGTGAATCACTTGTTAAATGAGACATGCATCTGTGCTCAGAGATGTTAGCAGGATTTCCCTCATATTCAGCAAATGCCTTCTACAGACCAGGCATGATAATGCAGATAATTAGAACACAGCCCTTGCTCACACATTAGCCAAATGCCCAGGGCATTGTGATAAGTATAATTGAGATGTGCACAGGGACAGTGGGAGCACAAGGACAAGCGACTAAATCTCCCTGGTGAGGGCTCTGAAGACTCCATGGAGTGGCTGGCGTTGGCTTGCATCTTTAAGGAGGAGTTTGCTAGGTGAATATGGGTGGCTCAGTTAGCAATGATCTCTCGGAACAAGAAGCAAAAGTTCAGTCTCAGAACTCATCATCTCCACCATTTCAGAGATGGTCACTCTTTCACTTATGCTGTAACCTACATCTGCACACTCCTAGATAATATTTGTTAACTTCTTCAGTAATGGGGCAAGAGAGCTATCTTAATATGAACAAAAGGGAGCCTTAAGAACCTTGCCACAGTCACTTCTCTGTGAACACTCTTTCCAGTCTTTCCAGTTTAACCCCAGAATTCTTACCTTGTATTATAGTTCAGCATTATACAGCTAATTCTTTTGAATCCCCGTCTCTCTCTCCGTGGATTATCTGTTGGCACTGTTCACCCATACTTCTTAAACGCTCTGCCACCGTGGTGTTCATGACATCACTCTCCAGGGTCTGCTGCTGCCTTTATGACTGCTCAGCCTCAGGCTTCTATGGAATTCTCTGCCCCTGAAATGCTGGGCTCCCCCAGATATCTTGCGTTGTTGGGTTTTTGCTTCTCTTTTTAGATGTTTTCTCTGAGTAATATTATTTATATCCTACAATCTTATTTATATCCTTCTGTTATCACTGTACCTCTGACCCATACAGACACTTATCTCTTATTCTGCCTAGAATGTCCCTTCTGGGCTCCTGATTATATTGACTTATACGTTACAACCAGCTGTTTGATAGGCATCACAGACTCATTAGGTCCAAAGCAACCCTACTCTTCCTCTCAGAAAGTAGCACCACCATCCACCCATCACCCCAACTGGACTTTATTCTCTTTCCTCTGTCGTGTGTCCCATACACAATTCCTGGCCCCTATGCATGTTGAGGATAGTTGGGCTGTGTCATTTTTATCATTCTCTTCCTACTCCTGTCATGTGTTTCTGCCATGATAACTTCATTGCATTGTTGCCTTAATTCAAGCTTTCCTCTTGTCCCGCCTCTCCATTAACCATCTTGTCCCTCCCACAGTCCATTTTTCACAGTGCTGTAGAGTGATCTGTGGAATTCCTAACACTTACACTCCCCTAAAGCATCGATAGGTAGCTCACACCTGTCTCTTCAGCCTTATTTCTTGGCACTCTCCTCTCTCATAATTTGTGCTCTACCATATTAGAGTTGGTCACTAATTTTCTTGAACTTTTTCAAATTCTGTCTGATTATTTGGTTTTCTGCTTCTATACCTTTTCTTATTCTACTTCCTTGGCCCATCCATCGAACCAATTCCCTCTCCAGTCAGGGCACAAATAGGAGGCAACCAAAAGATGTTTCTCTCACATCCATGTTTTCTCCCCTCCCCTTCCTTCCCCTTCCTTCTCCTCCCTAGAAGATGGTGTGTGTTTTTTTTTTACTTTTGGAATATTGTCATCCATTAAACATGAATTTGTGTGCATTACTGTATGAATTTAATACATTTTAATTAACAGAATTTTGAAAGGACCAAGTAGATAAGATCTATTTAATAATGAATGATGCATAATTTAAATCTGACCCCAATGGTGCTCCGTGAACAACACTGTATTGGCAATGATAAGTTGAAAATCCTAAAATAAATTTGTTCAAAAAACTGTGAGACATTCTCCCCATCTTTTATTTCCACAGCGCTGAACTGTTCAGCTGAAGACACTGAGCATGACCACAGCCCAGAAACACTCACCAAAAAGCTGTCCGATGTATGCCAGTTACGGAGGGACATTGATGAACTAAGGACTACCATATCAGACCGCTATGCTCAGGACATGGGAGACAACTGCATTACTCAGTGATCAAGTGTTGGTCCCACAGCAATAATGACCCGTTCTTAAATGCTGCTTGTACGTCTTCACATTTCTTTTTGGGAGCCATGTTGGTCTACCCCACCCTGAACGCACCCAGTCTCGTCTGACCTCTGAAGGTGCCATGTTGGAAAGTTGCAAGTAACACATGACTTGCACATAGGATCTTCGTTCTGTGGATTTCTTTTGTTGGGGGCAAAGGGGATGTAAGGCGGTCTCAAAGGGCTTATCTAATCAGGACAAACAATCAGATTACCATTTGAAAATGTGTTTAAGCATATAAGGGGAAAAAAATTTCTGTATTCTCAAACTACTGAGGGAAGGACCAAGCTGTGAAGAGTGCCCTTTGGATAAAGGGGGGGGGGGATTTCTTTTTATCCTGTTTTTGTGTGTATATGTGTGTGTGTGTGTGTGTGTGTTTATTCATAAAACAGTAAGGATTTCTGGAGTCAGAGCAAAGCTTCTGAGAAAGGCACGCACTTGTGTTTTTTTTTCTTTCGTGTAGAAGCTTGTGTTAGACTCGGGGGGTTTCAAAGGCCGGCTGAGCAGGAGTTCCCACAGCAGGCGAGTGTTCTAATAGCAGCACAGGAGGCAGACCCATTGTGTTTTTGAACAACTGCTGTGCTGAGATGATGCGGTGAGGGGCTGAGTTGGTTGTAGAACTGTAGCTACGTCAACTATTTATTCCAGAAGGATTGTGGATTGCCTTAAAGGTGTGAAATTTTGATGAGATCTTATTCACTAGTGTAGTAAAATTACATAGTATATATCACAAGGCAATTTAGCATAATTTGAACTAATTTTGACATGCCCCTTACTATTTATGGTTTCTACTTCTATGTTATATATATATATATATATATATATATATATATATATATATATGCAAAGCCATATGTAATTAATGCAGACCTTTTAAGGCCCCCCTTCATTCTTGTAAAAGATTAACCAAGTGACTCTAAAACAATAGCCTACTTATCCAAACCTCAAATGTTTACATTTTAGCAGTTTTATATCTGTTTTAAAGTTGAAACTACTTTAAGAAAAAGCCAGCCTGTCCTCTTTATATTTGAATTATCACTAGCATAAAACAAAATTTAAATTATGTGATATTTCAATTCCTTTAATTAGGTAAGGTACATTATAAATGAGTTTTCATAGAATACAGACTTGGTCAGGTTAGTTCCATTGGAGTACATATGTCACTAAGAAATGGAACTGTTATTTAAGTAGACATACAGTCAGTTTAACTTTCAAATGACTATCTCCTTGTTTTAGTTGGTATTGTGGAAGGACTATATATTCTATTTCCTTCAGAGCATTCATTACATTGTTTTGAATATACTTCCCTATGACAGTCATTGACCTTTATAAGTTGCTTTGTTTTCTTGATGCAGCTGAGTCTCATTAAGTCAAAATGTAAGAGGTAGATGGAATAAGGGGTGTGAGTTAAGCAAGATAAGGGCAGATCCCAGGTCTGGTTTGTTTTGTTTTTTTTTGTTTTTGTTTTTTTTTTGAGGCTTATATCCTGGTATAAAGGCTGCTCCCAGAAGAGATTCTTCTGAAATATTTCAGCAGTGAAAGCACGTGGTGTAAGGCTTTGAAGAAGACTGCCCAGTTTAGCATTTGGTTTACATACAGCTCTCAAAAAGTTACTTTTAGTTCTATTGCAGCAGTCAATTACAATACGTTGTGAGGTCATCAGACTTCGCTCTGTTCAGTGCCTGAGTCCTCCCTGCTCTTCTTACCTCTTAGGGCCTGGGCACTAAGAAATCAATGCCTAGTAGTGATTCTGTGTCCCTAGCCCTAGTAAGGAGGGACTGATTCATTGGTAAGAACTTGGCTTTCTCATGTGTTCATTTGCTTCCTAATGTTGGTGGGCTGAGGTCATTCAGAGTATAGTAAATTTGTGCCCACAATCTGAGGCAACGAATTCTGCCTTGTAAAAATTAATATATCTAAAAATGACCCTTTATAGTCAAGTAGGAAGGAGCATTGACATGCAGCATGTATTTTGATACTCTCTTTTAATAGAACCCCCACCCCCACCCCAACCTTCATAATTTTGGAAATTAAGGCACCCTAAAATATAGTACTAATAGGCAAATAATCACTGATTTATTTGGGTCACTAGGTTCTTACTTAAATATCTCCTAGTTTTTTAGTATATGTTTGGGGATTTTATGGTTATTACTATTTTAAACTTTTGGTCATTTGTTTTAATCTATTATAGATACATTTTTGTTTGTGGCTTAGTTGGGGTAAAATATTTTATTTTTTAAAATAAGTTTTCTAAACTTTTATAGAATTACACCTAATTCATATATCTTGAGGTAAAAAAAAAAATTTACTTAGTAGGAAATTAACAAACTGCTGCTTATGTATTTCATTTTCCAAAATATATACAAGCCATTAAAAAAATTAATATATGATAGTTTAAGTATAACCTTGAATTACAAAATGCAATCTCTTGGAGTCTAGAGTTTGTGAAAGGACATAGATAAGTGGATGGCCTTGGAGCATATTTTGGGAGAAAATTAAACTAGTATATTAATTCATCAGTATTTTATTTTGGTTTTCATTTTTCAAAAAATTTCCCTTCCCAAGGTATTTCTTGTGTTAGTTTGAACGAGGGTACTCTTGGAAGTTATTACAATGATAAAGGTCTGAGGTGAAACGTAACCTAATTTTAAAGTAAACCTATTTGAAAATTTCCTTAGATATGAAAATTTTTAAATTATGCTTTTGTGATTAAATGCTTGTTTTCTAAGGATGTATCTTGTGCAGTATCAAAATTTACTATTAGTCTTCTGGGTTTTGAAGTTGAACTTATTCGGCCTCAGGCACATTAAAGCAGAGATGAAGTAATAGTGGTCTCCATAAAATACCCAGATTACCTGTGCAGATCAAAGGTTGTCTTTTCATTGATGTCAGGAAAAAAGGATAACTCTATTTAATTGTTAGTAAATTTGCAGTGGTCTTTCATTTTAAAAAGCCTCATTGTATTGACTAGATAATTTCATGCCTAAACTTTTCTTTTAAGAAGTGTGGCCCTGTTTTATATTTGAAATAGGATTTAATATTTAATGTTAACAATATTATATTTGAGTGAAATTTATTTTGGTTATGACAGTGATTAAACTGAATTAGATTTCTTTTAGTAGTTTGTTAGGGACAATCTCAAGGGCTAGGAAGTGTTGCTAAAATGGATATTGTACATTTATGACATGAATAAGCTTATAAATTAATGTGATAGTTCAAGACTTATAAATATGAATCTCTTAGAGGGTATTTTTAAAGGAACTACTTTATTGGAAAAACATTTTTTTCAATATCAGTCATAGTTCATTGAGTAGCAGCTGAGAACTTGGACTGTGGTTTTACACAACGCAGGTCAGCTCAGCCATACCTGTAGTGTAGGTTATTGGCATCCCCTTATATAGATTTCTATCATTGTAGATAAGTAATTACAGTAATAAGCAGTTCTCATAACCATGCTCACTTAGACTGTATCACTTGAAACTGCCAGTTGCGATAGCTCTCTGAGCCAAAGCTAATTCATTTCATTTCCATTCTTAACAATTCTTTTCAGAACTCACAAAGCAAGAAAAACTATTTATTTGGTATATAGAGTATAATTTCCAAATTCACCCAAAAGGCCATGGTGGTATATTGCATTTAATAATATTTAATCATGAAGGGGAAATATTTTGTTTGTTTGTTTTCTTATTTAGAGGAAATATTGAGTTTATTAGAAGGATATTTTCGAATCAATAAGTCATTAACACTCTCGGCAGCTGCATACAGAGAGAACCTTTCGTGCCTGTTTGCCTGCAGTAAGCGTTCATTTCTATGTTACAAGAGCTATAAGAATGTTGATGACTGTCACACTCATTAACGATTTTCTTAAAGCAAGGAGCAGTTTTTCATTACTAGGTAGATAATTTAGTAAACATGACAGGAGGTGTCAGATACATGTCTTTGGAACCCAGCCTTTTCCCCAGATTGTGAGCAGGAAACCCATTTGGAATGTCATGTGTGAATGTGTGTGTACATATATGTATAAATATTATTTAAATATATAAATAAAATTCAGCATCACGCTGGTGTGATGGCAAGAGTGGTAGGGTGCTAGGTGGTCACATGAAAAGCACAGCAGAGTGTATAATCAGTCACTGTGGCTGGTGGTTTTTGTAAACTAGGTTCAGTTTTGAACCACCCAGAATACCTCATGTGTAAATACAGTGGTCATGACTTAATTGAAATACAGTCCTTGTAAAAAGAATGTGAAGCCACTGGTTGGCTTATGCCTTCTGATCTGTCATTCTTGCCCCTTATTTATAAAGGGGCTGTTTTTCTGTTTGTTTTGTTTTTTAATAGGGTTTACAGCTAGAATTTTGAATGCCAAAGTTCTATTTATTAAATTTTTTAAAAAAAGTTTCCAATGTTAATAGCTAAGTATTTTTCCACTGGATTATTGTTTGTTGATGTTGGAATTTGTATTTACAGAGAAATAAAATTTTTATTAAAAAATTTATCTCTTCCAAGTGTCTAATTTTAATATCACAATGTGTTTGAAATTTCAGACTCTCGGTGACAAGAAGATACTGACTTGTTCTTTAGATAAAAGTTTTCTATAAATAAGAGAACCTATGACTAGAAAGTGGAGACTTCTGATTCAGTTACTTAAAAGCTTTTTCTCATGGCCTTCCCAGGAAGGCACTCAGATTTTTTTATGACAGATTTTTTATATGACATGTCTATATCCATTTCAGTTAATAGTGCGTGTCCCCCTTTTGGATTTTGAAAATCCCTATTTATATCAAGAGAGTTTTCTTTTCCAACAGAGAAAATTTGATCTTAGTTTTTCCATATTGCTAAAAGCTTGGACTAGCAAATCAAATATTTATTTCCCCTTCTAATCAAAGTTGAAACCTGTCTGAAACATGCTACGAATGTGACCTTGTGAAAAGGTCGTACAATGCAGGGACCTTGACATCTCACCTTTGATGGTTTGCCAGCCTACACCTGAGAGCCCTGTGGATGGCACCCTGGGTCCTTGTTCTAACGCATGTGGGCTGTGGCCTCAGTGTCTCCAGGAAGTTGGTTACTGTTTGGCTTAGCAGTCCTTGTTTCCAGCCCAGCTAACTTGACATGACTCTGTCAGAGTCTCTAATGAGGCAACTGATTCAGTTACCAGAAGGAGCATTGAGAAGTCCTGCATCATAGACTCTCTTAGGCTGCAAGCAAATGTCTTAGAAATAAAAGCAGAGTGGACAGAATATTTCTTTGGCAATTGGTGTAGAGGTTTCTCTCTCAGGATGGAAGATATAATTACTTTGATCTGGTTTAAAAATGTTTTGATGGGGAAGTCAGTAGCTTTTGACAGGGTGTGCCTGTGATTTTGAGCTTTTTATGCCAAATCCCCAAACAACCATTTTATGTGGGAATTCAAAGGACAGGAAGGAGGTGTGAAGGTATTAGTCATGGGTAGAGTGGGTCAGCAGAGCTGACACCTTCTCACAAAGAGCACTCTCACCTCACAATTTGCAATTGTGAGACTCCCTGATTTAGGGGAGGGACCACTTCAAAGGCTGAAACTATGATGAAAAATTTCTAGAATGTTTTAAGTAAAATTGCTGCTGATAAAATTTAGTGTATACACACACAAAAAAACCTTTGCATTTTAGCCAATGTGATTTTACTTAAACACCAGTCTCACTTTATGATCTCTATTGTGTCGTGTGTGTGTGTGTGTGTGTGTGTGTGTGTGTATTCAGTTACTTAAAAGCTTTTTCTCATGGCCTTCCCAGGAAGGGCACTGAGATTTTTTTTATGACAGGTGCTGTACATACATGTTTATCTCTCTCTCTCTCTCTCTCTCTCTCTCTCTCTCTCTCTCTCTCTCTATATATATATATATATATATATATATATATATATAGTGTATATATATAGTGTATATATATAGTATATATATATATATATATATATATATATATATATACACACACACACACACACACACACAAAGTAGTTAACATTGTTTAATGGCCCATGATTACTAAAAACTGCATAGGAAGTATCTTCTATATCATCATCATCATCCAGCATTTGAGCACATGGCAACCAAGTACAAGGATCCCATTTATTTTTTTATGTGATGCTCTATGAAGAAGAGCATTATTTTCCCCACTTCAGACAGAGAGGAGGCATAGAGAAGTTTGATATGTTGACCAATTTTATGTTGATAAAATTGTTAGAGGCAGAGCTATCATAAGAACAAGCCTGACTCTGACCCACTCACTAGACAGTGATTCTCAACCGTCCTCATCTCATGGCACAAGTAAACCAGTTCCTAAAATTCTACAGCATACCACACACACAAAAAAATTTTTTTTGGCTGATCAGACAAGAAAAGTAAACCCCTCCACCTTCCCTAACCTGCTTCCTCGAGTGTCTCTATGCCTATAAGTTA